GCCCGAAACGTCAGCCTCTCTGCTCCTATGATGCTGCTTGGCCTGCTGTGTTCATCCAGCCCTGCACCTTGTTGTTTCATATCCCTGGATCCAGTTAATCCCTTCTGCGTTCTTTTCAGTCTATTCACATTATTCCCATAGCGTGACACCCAAATTCATGCCTTTGTCACTGTCAGACTTTACAATTCCGATGCTGTCTGGTTGAACTGTCCATCCTGTACCTTGTATAGATACAAATCTCTACTGCCTATGCCTTATCCTGCACAAAGTCACTCATTGGCCCATCTTCATTCTTTAAATTGGCTCAAAGTCCTCAATGCCTCAAATTTAATGTTTACAAGAATGTTATATGAAAAGAAATCTGGCTTCTTGATGGCATATGTTAAGTTCAACAATGTAAGTTGCCAACCAGCCCTCACCAGATCTTCCACTTATATTGCTCTTTCTGACTGCCAGAAAATACCTGAATGACCCAGATATCAATATTAAAGCAGTAGTAGCTAAGCCTTAAAAGTACAAAAAATTGCCATGTTTGATTCCAGATCCGTGTTGAGTTAGTCTAAACTAAGCATATAAACATGTAGTGATCTTGCTTACATTTGGCCTCAGCATACCAGGATAAGGAAAGGAAGTATCAACTGCGGATCATTCTCCTGATTGTTTCTCAAAATTCTTACTTGCAATTGATAAATGGATATCAGATTAAGACAAAATAAAGCACAGCAGTTAAAACTGTTCACTGTCAATTAGCCTGGTTATATTTACAGTCATTGGATTTGACATAAAAATAATGCATTTGGGAGTGATAAAGAATTCACCATTATCATTGGAGCTGTGCTTTACAAAATAACAATGCTTGAAGTGAATTGAAATTTGAAATTGAAAACGTTTTTAAAGAGAAAAATTCCCTCAGTGATTTAGATGTAGAAGCCTGTTGGCTCAGGAAAACTTAGTAACAAAAATATAATTTATATACTGCTGAGACTAGAATACAATGTCATTAGA